TTGCATAGTATTATGACATGCTTGTAATTAAAATATACTTCTTGGTAAAGTAAAAACTTGAGGATGAAAAGAAAATATCAGAGTAGAAGATGAAAGCATTATTTCTGTGGTTTGATGTTTATAAAAACTTTTTAGGAAATAATTCTGTAACAGAACAACTTTCCTCAGAGCTAGAGAAGCTGCTGTATGATAGTAAAACTATCCAACAATGGAAAGAGTTGTACTTTCATACCATTTCAAATGGGAATTCTAGATTACAAATCTATATAACCATAAGTATGTTTATGATATCCCTTACAGACATTTAACATCTTTCAAATGTCCTTTAGGAGCATGATAGAAACTTCAACTTGTTACTGTTTCTTAGACTCAGAATACGCAAGTTTATGGTTAAATTCATATATTTTTTTTCAATTCTTTCACTAGTACCTTATCAAAAAAGATGTTTAAATGTTTATTTTGGAAACATATTTACTACACTGGAACTTTTGTTAAGAGTTTGACAACGTCAGCTCAAAAGGCTTTTTCTCCATAGTAATTAATTTTTAGATAATATAACAGGAAAAATCGAGTTTGTCCCCAAAAGCCAAAAATTCAGTAAGCAGCTCCCTCTCCCAGGAAAAAGTGAGTTCTTCTTTAAACTGTAAAATACACACTTGTACACTTATAAAAACACTTTTAAAAATACATGAGCCAAAACATATATATATATACAAATAGAAAGCCAAATTCTGGTGAGTTTTTCTATTATCAATATTCCAAAAGGAACATAAATAGCTATTAACAGTTTTACAGAAACCAGTATAAATACTAAAATTGTATACATTTGTCTAGATAACAAAAAGTAACATCATAATTTGACTTAATGTGTTAACAATCTTTGTACTTGATCACAGAATTTTGAGATTTGTTTTAGCGGTTTTATACCATCAACATACCTCAAGTAATAATTGTCCACATTTCTTAACTCACTAGTTTTTACCAAAGATGAAGCAGTTCTGTGAAGAAAGCAGCAGCTCTATGAAGATTGCTTATTTAAAAAGTCTTCTTATTCTACCTGCTTGTTAACTAAGTAAAAAAATAAGCATAACAAAATAACTGATAATGAAGAGTGCAATTTCTATTTCAGAGTATGTATAGAACTGGGTGGCCTGAATTAAAAATGCATTTACAAATGCCAGTCAACAATGCTGATATGTGTATTTCCTCACATACTAAAAACAAACCCTCCCACCTATACCTCATCTATGGATACCCACTCATTCAGAGAAACTGTGTCACTAAGTTTCAATTACAAGAATATAACTGATTTTTAAAAAGAGTTATCATTAAAGATGAAAACAGAGAAACAGTTATTTTGAGGGGAGAGTTAATCAGAAAACAAATACAAGCGCACGGCTATCTCAACTATAAAGTAAACTGAATATTCCAAGACGACTTCAAACTTCGAAAAATAGAAAACCTTCCCAAATAAAGCAGGTTTACCTTAGTGTAAATCAAATGCCAAAGTTTTTCATATTCAAATGCTGTATGTTTAGAAAGAACTACATACATAACCCATGATGTTCTTAAAATATTAGTTTTAATATTAAATGTTTCTTATACCTCAATACTCAATTACTACCTGATTAAAATCTTTAAATAATCAGCCACTATTATAAAGTACAAAAAATGTGTATTTACTATTACTATAGATTCTTACTAAATTTATGAATCCCAGAGAATTTGAGAGACTAATCTACTCAGCACACTACAATGCTAAAGTTTTCTCCAGGGACCATCTTGCTAACATAACCATCTATTTCTCAAAGAAAAAAAGGCAGTTTAAATTGTTTAAAAAATTATCAAGTCAAATGTACATATCATAAATAGAGCTTTAAACTTTTGCAGCTGACTAGTTTTAAAACTACCAAATAAATGTCTTCAATGGACATTTAACCATTTCACTGTTAAAGAGAGCAGGGTTTAATATACAATATGTACTTTAAATTTGACCTACCATATACTACATTCTAGCACACCTTCAAACTTACCAAGACCCACACTAAAAGATTTGTTGAACGCTAAATATTTATATTGTGTTAAAATTATTTGGCCGAACTAATCAAGTGAAACTGGTTTCTCTTAGCTAAGTTGGGTAACAGAGTTTGAGAAAAGAAAGCAACATAAATGAACATGGCACATCACTAATTTGTTCAACCCTGTACAAACTCCCCAGCCATCAGTGACATTCTTAAACAGCTCAGAAAAAGCATACATTATATCAAAATTACTTGTGATTGATTTTAAATCATGTTTTTCCCTTGTACTGAAAATACTACAACAAAACTGGTATGGAAAAAGAGCAAGTAACTTTCCCTGAGGTTAGGAAGGATCACACTCCCACAGTTGTAACCACTATCCAAGGACATCCCGCTAAAGCCGGGTGGGAATGTGTAGAAACTCAGTAACTACTCCAAAGGTGAACACAGATTTTTGTTTTGGGTTGTTTTTTTGTTTTCTTTTTGGCTGTCGCCAGTAAAAAAAAAGAACTCAATCTACTCCCCTAAAAAGCACGTTTGTTTTCAAAAGAAAGAGAGTGCCAGTAATTCAACCAGAGGAGAGGTGAAAATCTCCTTCCCATTTCTAGCCCTGGCCTAATATTTCAGCTTTTTCCTGCAGCCAAATACCAGACGACCAGGGCAGGTCACAGGAGCAGGATGAAAATGTCCGTCTTGGCTTTAACCTCTTCAGCCGCCAAGTGGAACGAAGCCTTCCTTAACTTTTCCCTCTTCTTAAATCCCACCCAAAGCAAGGATTATGATTAACCCCGCCCCGACCACAGTCCCCATTTTGTGCCCCTAGCTGCCCCAGCTTGCCCCCAAATTTGCTTTTCCAAGGATCTGCCAGGTAAATGAGCTGAATAAGACAAAGACCAACTGTGGGACTGAAGTTAGCCTAGCAATGCATGTTACTAAACGGGAGAGGAAACGCGGTAAAGAAACACTTGAAAAGAACTAAAACATGTCCAAGGACTCGTGAACAGACTGCGCCGTGGAAATGCAACCCTGGAAGGATAAAAGCAGAAAGGCGAGGAGGAGAACAGAAGAAAACTCACAAGAAAGACATTTTGGAAGCACACCAGACGCGCTCCCTCTGGCGTTGAAAGATCCACTATCAAATCCTTGACGCGAGGCGTCTAGGTGACAAGAGCAGACTTCACCCGCCAGGTCGCCCTCTGCAATCCCGTACAGCGCTCCGGGGACCCCAGCGCTGGCCCTCTCCCACACCTGCAACCTGGCCCAAGTGGGCCGGGACTAAACTGGGGAACAAGCACCAGAGGAGCCACCTCTCCCGGCTCCCGCTCCCTGAGCGGCCCCTCCCCCAGGCCGCCCGGCCCGCATTCGGTACCTACCTGTAGCACCAATGGTTCGGGGTTGAATGCCAGGGTCAGCAGCAGCTGCATGCGCTCCGAGTCCTTAAGATTGCGGAGCAGGAAGCTGCCCGAGTCCTTGGTCTCCGCGTAGCGTCGTACCAGACGGTCCAGCAGGCGCTGCGAGGGGCAATGCACCAGGTCGGACCAACCCTCCACTGCCTCTGGCGTGAGCAGCCGCACGTCGCCGTTCAGGCGCGCGAACTCGGTGCGAGGCATGGCCTGGAGCAGGTCACAGCGCGGCCGGCCGGTGGCCCGCTTACAGATGCTCTGGTCGAGCTGCGCCAGCTCGCGCTGCGAGCCCAGGCGCTTGAGCACCACGCGCCGGCGGCCGCCCTCGCGGGGCTCGCCGTACTGTGCGAAATAGACGTTCTTAACGTTGAGAAAGTCCAGCAGGCGCAGGCGGCCCCACGCCTCGAACACCACCTGCCCGTTGAGAAAGCGGCGGCACCAGCTTGTACCAAAGCACGCCGGGCACTTATTGAGCTGCAGGAAGCGCCGGTCGGCCAGCTCGTTGCGCTGCCAGGAGGCGAGCAGCGACGGCGAGTGCAGCACCATCAGCACCAACAGGCTGCCCAGTGCCGCCAGTTTCAGCGAGCGGGACAGGCGGCCCAGCTTCGGGGGCACCAGGCGCCACATCCCGCCCGCTGCCCGTCTGCACCCGGAGGGCGAGGGCACCCCCTGGGCGCCCCCGCCGCGCGGAAACCCGGAGAGCTACCCGCAGAGGCCCCAGACGGAAGAAGGACCAGGGGCGCGGGCTGGGGTAGGAGGCGGAGTAGATGTGTAAGCCAGACCGGGAGCGGGAAGGAGCTGACCGGAGCAGACTGCGACTTCTTCCAGTCACTAGTCTCCACAACTCTCAAGCTCCCTCCTCTAAGCTCCCCGCCCTCCGACTCCCGCGGCACCTCTCCTGAGCCAGCCAAGTTATAGCTGAGCGAGAGGGGGAGGGCGCGCGGGGACACGAAAGCCGCGGGCGCGCAAGCGCACTGCACGCTCGGGGCGTGAGAGCTGCGGAGGCGGCCGCCCGCGGCGCGCGCCGGGTCCCAAGGAGAAGAAAGGAGGGACTCACGGCAGGGGAAGAGAAGCTGCAGTGTCTCACTTCGAAAAGTAGCAACAGTAATAGGAGGTGGGATGGATGAAACGACCACGCGCGCCAGTCGCCGCACGCCCCAGTTCCTAAGCGCTGGCTCTCCAGAGAGGGGCGGGAGCCGGGGGCGGGGCCAGCGGGGCGGACGAGCGCGTCGCGCGCCGCCCGTAAAGCGTAAGCGCGGACTCGCGGGGGTGGCTTAGGGGGCGTCTCCGTGGGGGCGGAGCTCGAGCTTTGAAGTGGGGATAAACTCGCGAGCTCTGGTAGTGACAGGAGTTTTAATAATAGTTAATCTTTTAGAACTGTTGAGGATTGCTGGAGCCTGACTTTTCCCACAGTGGAAACTCCTCTGAAGGAGGCAAAAGAACTGAATTGCGGAAACCTACTGGAACCCCCTTCTCTCCGTCGGCGCGCGTTGGGCGGGGCAGGGTGGGCGGGGCGTCGTACCCCTCCCCGGCCTTCTGTGTTTGGGGCGCGCGCCTGGGGCCGGGTAAGGGGCGGTGTGCTTAGAGTGAGCTCGCATTCCCGGGTCCGCGTGCCTCGAGGCGGGGGACTGACCTCCGGAGAAAACGTGAAAGGCTTCAGTTGTGGAATTGGTTGGGGACTTCGTCTTTGGGTGCATCTTAGATGCTCGGAAAAGTCGAAGTCCCCGAAACATCGTGTTAAAGGGACGTTAGGATGACCGGGGAACCGACGTGGCCTGGTGTCTACAAGAGTCCTGCCAAACGCAGCGGAGGAGCGGGGATGAGTTGTTGGCAGGTTTGCTTTGCTCCCCGCCTGCTTTCCCAGCCTGGCGCTGAAGCCGTTTCCTGCTACCCGTAGGGACAGCCCCTGCGCCGCCCCTGGGGTTCCTTGAGCGGTTAGCAGGCATTCCACTTCGTACTAGTAGGCCCGGAGGAGCTGTGGCGTTAACCATGGGGAATGGGGGCCGCCTGCCGTTCCCTAAGGGCAAGTTGGCCCAGGTACTTAAACCACAGCAGAAATTACTCAGAAATGCTGAACTACAGTGCCTTGTTTTGGTATAAATTTTAGAGGACCTGGGCTTTTTAGCACTAGCTGCGAATACATAATTATAATGCTATTTAGTTTTAGCGCTAGGATATAAAGAGTTAAAGTCATTTTACCCCTCAATTAAATGAGGAGCAGTTGTTGGTCTGACGGATACCTGGTTCCTGACACTATTAAATACCTGGGTCTTAACTGAGTTAATTTCAGAGATCGAACAGTGATTTTTAGGAGACCCTAGTAATTGGCATGTATGTATAAACCAACTCTACAGAGGCTTAATGAAAGACATCAATACTGCATTATTAAATTCACTTTTCTCCGCAGCCATTTGATTGCAAAAGAGCCATCCTCTTGAAAAGTACTGTTGAAGATAATGTTTTGCCCTTCCTGATATAAGAATTCATACTTTGAAAAAAAACCTTTGGACAAATTAATATATCGGATAGAAGTGATTTTTAAATGATACTGAATTAAATAAGACAAATCCGAAAAATTATCCTTCAAGCCTGGTACAAAGTGACTAAAGAAACTTTGCTGCTACAATTAAGTACTTTCTGCCACCTTTGGGAGTAATTTGGTTTAACTTGCCTTCAAGCATCCTAAAACTCCATACAATGTAAAGTTATGAAGAGAATCTCAAATGTGGACTTCATAAGAACCGAGTTTGGTGTGATTGGTCTAGAGATGTCAGTGCTGCTGCTGCGGCTGCTGCTGAAATGTTGACAAGTTATTACTGAACTGCAAATTTCTTATCTCTAGCATCTTTTGTACCTGTCCTGTAGATGTGTGCAATTAATATGAGATGATTTATGTAGAATTGCTTTAAAACAATAAAAACACTACATACATTTCTATATTTATAGTTAGAATGATTGAACCTTTAGCGCACTTTGCAGGTAAACTGATTAAGCTGAGATAATTGGGGTGTAGTGACAGATTAGGTGACTAGTACTCGGATTGGATTAAGGGGGTACTGTTTCTATGTATGGAAAACGTCTTTGGAGTTCTTAAACTACTCTCGGCCCCCAAATCCTTGGAATTGTATAGGCATCATTTGCATAGTGGAAGTAAATAAGGTTACTAGTATACATACAAGTTGAGTTTTGAAAAACATTTGCTTTTTATCTAAATATTTTACATTTGTTTAAAACTAAGGATATTCTCTTCAGTTATGTTTTCTAGACTTATCAAGAAAGATAGTATTTTAAAGTACTTTATTAGGGTTTGGAAAAAGATCAGTAAGTTCATGTTAATGTACAGTACCCACCTATCCATAAACTATGGAATGCTTTTGGCAGTTGGCTAATAGATTATAAACTTACATCCAAAATTCTTCCTCAATAAGTTTAAATAATGGCAAATAACTTAATTTCCAGTGCATTGTAAAATGCCACTTTATATCTATCACTTTTAAATGTAGCAACTGAATTAAATATTATAGTATTTTGATACTATACATCTATTTTTTAAAAAATGAACTGGCTCTTTGATAGTCAAAGTTTCACATTGTATTGCTATTCTATCCCCTGTAGCCATGGTTCTCAGTTAGGGTCTGTTGCCTCCTGGTTGACATTTGGTGATATCTGGAGACATTTTGATCATGGCAAGGACCTGAGGGCATCTAGTGGGAAGAGTCCAGGAATGTTGCAGAAACTGTCTACATTGCACAAGGCAATTTCCAACAACAAAGAATTAATCAGCCCAAAATGTCAACAGTGTATGTTACTGAGAAACTTAAATGCTACCTGTTGCTACCAGAACCAATAAGTAGCGGCAAGGATTGAATTTTTATGGCTGCTCTATTCAGATGGCTGGTGATCTGAGAAGACGCTGGGTTATGTACCCTAAAAAACTGTCTTACGTTAATCTAAAGTCAACCTTTATATAAGGATAAGGATAGTGTAGGTAAGGGGTTTGGAATTCAGGAAAAAGTAGGTAAGGGTTTTGGAATTCAGGGGAAAAGGTTAGTCAGATAAAAGTTGCAGTCCAGCAATTTTCCTAGCATCCCAGTGATTCTTTTATCTATTTACAATCTGGATGTTTTCTCCCTGGAGTACATTGGCTTAAATACCATCTTGATCGCACTTGAAGCGCTTGGGCAGAAAGGAAAGGTTAGGTTGCTTGTGGTCCTCCTGGAGTCACGATAGATCTTGTCATAAATTCTAGTTCCTGGAATAACAGCTTTCTATATGCATTAATCACCAAGCCTATTAACTATATAACTAAAGCTAAAGTTTTTAACTCTTGATTTCCCCCAACAAAACCCCGACCTACAGAATTCTACTCTTACGTGGTATGGTTTTAGGTATGAACGTCTTAATGGTTATCATTCTTTACTGCAGCAAAAAAGAAAAAAATGTGTGTATATTTTAATGTGCATATCTTGGGATGATAATATTCTAAAAGTTAAGTCAATTCAGCTGATTGAAATATAAATATAATTTTTAATTATAAAAAGTAATATTTTATTGAAATATATTTCTTAATGAGATTGGGCTTTATATTATTTAGCTTAAGTTTGCATGGATGAATATTTTGTATTGCTAGAATTTGACAGAATTCAACATCAATTTTTTTTTCTGTTTCATTTTTACAGATATAAAGGCCAAAATATTTTGTTCATTTAAATTGAGACTAAGGAGTGTTAGTATAGCAGTGTGGTTTAATTGTGTTTATTACTTCTGAATTATATGTTAAAAGTCATTTACTGATCACGATCTATCAGAATATTCCTAATGACATGAAGTTCTCTAGTTTAATTTGGCTCAGAAGCACAACATTAGAATCCCAACTTTGAAAATAATTCCTTACCTAGTTACTAATTTTCTTATTAAATGTTTAGTACACTTGCTGTTATGTTCTAGAATAATGTACTATATTAATATTCAGGTAAAGGCCAAAAGGGTAAATTGGTGTCTGATTTAAGTGGCTGTTTCTTAGTTGTTGAATGGGTGGATGAATTAATAATGGAAAGAATGACACTCAGAATTAAATGTTATTATAATAATCCAAGCTAGAAGTGAGAGGTGATAGCTAGGAAGCTGATGAGAAACGGTGCATTCTGGGTATATTCTGAAGACATAATAGTTTAGTCAAAGTTTAGATATGAAAGAAGGGGAAGCATCAGCTGTCACTAGTGGTTTTTTGTCCTAAACTACTGGAAGAGTGACTATTTACTGAGATGGGGAGACCAAAAGGAAAAGCATGAAGAAGATACGTGCCTAGTTCCCCCTGTCCATTTTCTACATTTGTGTTTCACAGCTTAATTAAGCTGTTTGAAAGACCTACACAATCATTTTCCCACAAAATGATGGAGTTTTCTCCTTGTAACTCCAGTGGCAAAAATTCAAACACTTGCCGATGTTAATTGTAAGTCTGCTAAATAGTGTTAGTCATCTGATTTATGTACATTGGATATACCTGAAGGACAGGTTTTATTGTTAAAAACTGTTCAGTGTTTTAATAGGCTTTTAAGTACATTTCATTGTATTTTAAATCAATAACTCTATACACAAGTTTGTTTTTTTAAACACAGATGTAATATCAAACAGTTGACTGCACTGGATATGAAAATAGATTCCTCAAATTCATATACACCAAAACCATGATTTTGCTTGGGATAATAGTTTTCTGATTTGGTCAGAATAATGCAAATTAACTCAAATACAACCGCAACATTATAATCCATGATTTATATTAATTCAGGTTAACATGCAGTGTTACATAGAGTTTTCCACCTTGGCTAGGTTAATCCAAAGAGACCCATTTTTCTCTTGTAAATTTTTAAAACTTCTGTTTTTTTTTCCAGTTTGTTTCAGCAGACAAAATAATATATGCAAAGACAAAAAAATTAACACCATTTCAGTCAGTTAAGATCTTTTGAAAAGTTAACCCAAAATATGTACACCTGTGTATGTTAACATTATTAACTATTTTATAGGTCAGCATACATACTGATAGTACCTCTTATTCAATTCCACCCACATATAAGATTCTGAGGGTATGGGTTCTTAGAGTCCAGTGGCAGAGATAGATATATACATACCAACTTTAGTAAATGTTTGTGATAAATATTGAGATATAAGGAAATATTAAAGGAGCATAAACAAGGAAGAAATTCCTGTTTACTGACATCATCTTTGTGTTAATAGTACTCATAGGAGAATAGTATGTGTGGACTAGAATAATTGTTTCTTTCTTTTTTAACAGCCTGTTTGCTTCTTAAGCCTCACATTTCTATGTCTCCTATCTCTACAAATCTAATGTTTTGTGCAAATGATGTTTCTGCCACCTCTGCTGGATAATGGCGGCTATAGCATACTGCTTGTCTCTTGATGAACTTCAGCTGCCCCTTTCTGAGGAGAAAAAGCTTCCTTCTGGGTAATTAAAGCTTAGACTATTTCTGAGTAATAAATCTTTACCAGGATCCTTTCTTGGAAACCACACATGTATGTAAAACATTGGCCATTGTCTTCAGTTTAATGGCTGTGCCAAGTATAAGGATTAGCCACATCTGAGGAGGGTCGTTATGTTTTGCACTTGGTATATGTTGATAGATGTGTATATAATATATAAAATACAGGGTCTAGCAGAAGTAAGGCTTGCTTCAATGTGGTTGGTAGGATAATAATATGGGTACAATAATTTATAGTTTTAATTTGAACATTTCACCTAAAATGTCACATGGTGTGCTTGAGTGAGATACTGTTGTATTACAGAATTACATGCTTATGATTTTGTAATAAAAGATTTTGTAATAAAAAAGGGGCATGCTTTGTTCTGGACCCTGTATATACTATAAGATAACACACAATAATGTGTATTTGGTGTTCAAAATTATATGGCTGAGATATGTTGATTTGTTTTTGTTTTTCCTTATAAAAGGGTTTATAAACCCTGTAGGTAAATAAATAAGAATTCCCATTTGGGGGAACTAAAGATTCTGGTCATCACTTCCAACATGTGGGCTATATGTATATGTGGAAGAGGGTTCCCCACATCCACAAGTGTGTTCTCTGATACTAGCTGTGTATCCTACAATTTAACTCAATTCTGACACTAACCAAAGATAGCAGCAGATTCCACAGGTTAAGGGCTCAGTCCCACAACACAGATTTTTACTTCAGATGCCACTCACAAGCCCTAATTACTTATGCTTCTGGCCAACCAACTACAAATCAGGTTCCCATGACTCCCTCCTTGGGCAAGTTAAGGAATCAGTCCTACAAGTCTGTCCCGCGCACATCCCCCCCCCCCCCCGCCCCCACACCCTCCCTCTCCGAACTGTTAACCTTCAAAAGCCAGGCAAGGCCCAGGTTATCATCTGTGTGTCTATCATCTATTGATTACTTTGCTAGAGCAACTCACACAACTCAGAGAAATGTTTCACTCAATGATCACTTAGATTACAGTTTTATTATAAAGGATATAACTCAGGAACAGCCAGATAGAAGAGATGCATAGACATATGAGAAAAGGGCTTGGAACTTTCTTGTTCTCCCTGAGTGAGCCTGCACCCCCCCCCCCCCACACACACACACACTCCACCAGCCCAGAAGCCTCTGAACTCCATCCATTTGGCTTTTTATGGAGGCCTCATTACACAGGCACAAGTGATTAAATTATTGTCCATTGGTGATTGACTCCACCTCTGTCTCTTCTCCCTTTCCCTTCATCAGGGTTCATTCCCCTGGCAACCAGCCCATCCTTACATTCTTTCCAAAAGTCACCTTGTTAACACAAACCCAGATGTGGGGAAAGGGGCTTATTATAAATGATAAGACACTCATTTCACCTTTATCGCTCTGAAGCCAAATACATAACTTTTTTTTAGATTAGGTTTTGGTTGCCAAATTTTTAAGACATTGGTACTTAATATGGAACTATAGGTAGTGAAAGACAGTTGTAATCTTCAATATCAAGAGAGAAAAAGGAAATTTCAGTGGTAAAGTCTCAAATACCAGAGATAATCAACAGTAAATAGTAAAAACTTTCCTATAAAAATCCTTAAATGATCCTCTATGTTGATTTTGGAATGTGTGTTTCTACCAAAATGACTACCAATGAATTACAATTTTTACATTGTTTTCTCTCTTAAAACTAGAAATAATTGAAAGGAACTTGAAGGAAAACACTAAAAAAAGTTTTAAAAATTATTTCAAATTTCACAGATCTTTCTAAAAGTTACATTTTAAAGAGAAATATTTTTTCTAAGAAAACATTTTTAACCTCTCTTCACATTTTGTTTTCTACTTACTGCTGGTTTATAGAAATAAAGTTATTTTTGTATATAGTCTTCACCTCAGCAACAAAGCTACAGTTTTTATTCTAATAGTTTGTAGATTCTTTTGGGTTCTTTACACATGAAAATTATATAAATTATACTAGCATCATTTTTAAAAACTTAAATAATACCAAAAAAAATCAAATACCTAAGAGTCACAAATAATCAAATCAGTTTTAAAATACAGGAAAGCTGGAGAACTTAAACTAATAGTCAAAAGATACACAGGTGATCAACAGATTTAAAACAAAAGTAATTAGGAGTGCAGTTACTAATGCATTTTTTTTCAATATCTGATGCAAGGTCAAGTGAATATCATATGAAAAAATATGTATACCTTGACCTGTACTTCACACACCACACACCAAAATCAATTCTAAAGGTATTACAAATCAAAATATGGATGGTAAAATAATAAAGCTTTTAGAATGAAGTAGAGGAAAACATCTTCAGGACCTTTGATAGGCTGTGACTGGGAAATCCCCAAGACCACCCTCAGGTTCAGAAGAATAAAACTCAGCAAAGCTGTTACACTCATCTTATGGTTTAGTACAGTGAAAGAATACAGATGAAAATCAGCAACAGGAAAAGGTGCACATGGTGGGGTGTAGGAGAGTCCAAGTACAGGGAGCTTCCAGTTGTCTTCTACCAGTGGAGTCACATGAACAATGCTTACTTCTCCCAGAAACAATATATGTTGTCAACTAGGGGAGCTCAGAAAGCCTTGGTGTCTCTGGTTTTTATTGGGGGGTCAGTCACTGTCATGGCTCTTTCCACCTTACCGACCTTATTCTCCAGCTCCTCCAAATGTCATGATACCACATGGCCCAAGGCCCCCACCATAAATTACATTGTCCTCAAGTAGTTTGTTGTATTCTCATTCTAAAATATACTCACATCATGCATAATTTTGTATTTTTATTCTTTTTTCTTAAATATGAACCCCTTTCCCCACTGCAATTCACCAGTGTATAAACTTCAACTACCACCAACTTAGATCTGAGGAGTAAGAAGAGCTTGTTCGAACCCTAGCTATGGTTTGATGTTTATCACTGGCATCAAGTCGTTCAGTTTTTGTTTTGTTTTGTGTTTTGTTTTGTTTTGCATTAATAGGCTTTATTTCTATTGAACAAAAAAATGCTTTTAGTACTCAGACTAAATAATCATAGTTTGTCAGTCATTGTTTCAAGTAAAAATGGTGTGCTATTTAAAAATAAAAGCAGCTATTTGAGCTTGCCACTCAAAGGCTTACACATGGGCTTTTGCTGAAGCCCGTGTACTTTAGTATCCAGAAGTAATTTGTGTGTATTTCCCATTGACCACAGAAAATGTTAGAAGGACATGTGCTCAATTAAATAAATCGTTATGGCTGAGTTTTTTTTAAGGACATTCTTAAACTTTTTTTTTTCCTTTTCAACATATGTGGCAGGGTAGAAAATAATGACTTAATTTATGCTAGCAGTATTACTCACCTGTGCTTCTGCACCAGCAGTGCTGATGTCTGTGTGTACGTGTCCCAAGATAAACTATGAAATTCAAAAAGTATTTACTGCCAATTGTTCAAATAAGATATCCTTTGATGACTAGTTGGTACTGATACCAGACAGATACAGGCAAAACAACAAGTCTAGCAAAATCTGAAGGCCTGCCTATTTTTAAGGTAAATTTATAATTCTACATCTACTTTAAATATTTAATTCCTTTTTCCTTAAATTCCAATCTCAATATGAAATTACAATTGATCTGAAAAAATTATGTTACATAAGACACAAGGTAAATTATTAATATAATTTTTAAATATTTTTATTTTACATTGTATCCAATTTAAGTAGATTACTTTCTTCCATGAATCAGAGGACCCTGATACCTGTTTCATATTTTTTGGCATCTTTTTAACGTAGTACAGCTGTGGGTTGAGAAAGCAATTCTGCCAATTTGCTGACCCACGCATCCATTTCCCATTTCCCATGTTCAGTCCTTTGTGTAAATTCACATTTCCATCTGGGGTCATTTTTTCTTCTGTACCTTTTCCTTTAACGTTTCTTGTAGTGGCATTTCCTAGTGATGAAATTTCTCAAGGGTTTAGAAAAGTTTTTTGTCATCTCAATTTTTGAAATATTGTCTCTAGATACAGAATTCTAGATTGACTTTTTTCAGAAAACGATTTTGCTCCCTGTTTTCTGCCTTGCATAGTTTCCAAGAAGAACTGTGCTATTATTTATAGCTTTTTTTCTCTGTAAGTAATGGGCTTTAGTTCTCTATTAACATTTTGTTCTTTACCACTGCTGAAAAGAATATATTGTGTGCTTTGGTGTGCTTTTCTTCTAATCAGTAGGCATTGAGTTTCTTGTTTATGAAGGTTTACACTTTCTGTCAAATTTGGAAATTTTTTTAAATTTACTTTTTTAAAATATATTTTGTTGATTAAGATATTATAGTTGTCCCACTTTTTTCTCACCTTTATTTCCCTTTGCTCTGCACCCCCTTCCCACCAGCATTCCCGTACCTTGGTTCATGTCCATGGGTTGTACATATAAGTTCCTTGGCTTCTCCATTTTGCATACTGTTCTTAACCTCCCTGTCTATTTTGTAGCTACCATTTATGCTTCTTATTCCCTGTACCTATCCTCCATTTTCCCTCCTCCCTCTCCTCACTAATAACCCTCCACAAGATCTCCATTTTTGTGATTTTTGTTCCTGTTCTAGTTGTTTGCTCCATTTGTTTTTGTTTTTAGGTTCAGTTGTTGATGTGAGTTTGTTGTCATTTTAAATCATCATCTTTTTCTTAGATAAGTCCTTTTGACATTTCACATAATAAGGGCTTGGTGATGATGAATTCCTTTAACTTTACCTTATGTGGGAAGCGCTTTATCTGCCCTTCCCTTCTAAATTATAGCATTACTGGATAGAGTAATCTTGGATATAGGTCCTTGCCTTTCATGACTTCCAATACTTCTTTCCAGCCCCTTCTTACCTGTAAGGTTGCCTGGTGTGGCTCAGTGGATTAAGTGCCAGCCTGTGAACCAAAGGGTTGCAGGTTCAATTCCCAGTCTAGGGCACATGCCTGGGGTGCAGGCTATGTCCTCAGTAGGGGACA